GGTTGGATGCAATGGTGGCTGCAGGAAGCGTGGCTGGGGGTGGAAAAGTCGGAGTCCCAGCAATGCCAAGCGATTGTGTCGTTGAAGCAAGCAAGAGGGGTCCCGACACCGTACGACAAGCGGCAGCAAGATGTGGTCGGTCGGAAAGTCCGCGTATGCTTTTTCGACGTCGGGGACGTTTCCGGAACGGTCGCTGCGTCCAACATCCGCCCGATGCATGGCAACATTGTGGGCAACATTCACGAGATACCCGTCGCGTGGCACAAGAGTGAAGAAGATGTGTGGAACTTTTCCAAGTCGTCAACGAAAGCCGACGACTACAAATTCATTGTACGCTCATTTGCCTCATGTCAAACCAGCGCGCGCACGTGACAGATTGATGGGTGCCGTAGATGCGCACGAACGCCCCCAAGGACGACCTATTCTTGTTCATCGAGTTTATCGTGGACTTGGTCAGCGATTCAGCAACGGAACTGAAGCGCCAAGAGCGCAAGCAGGCGAAACCCACGGTGCGCGGTGCGTTTACACGAAGTGCTGTTGGACACACGACATCTAGGGTGTCTCGCCGTCGTCGGAGACGATTGAAATGACGTGCTGCTGGGCCAAAGTACCGCTTGTGAACTTGCTATCGTCCACCGTCGACATCATTCGGTTGGAGGAACCGCTGTATGGTGGTACCATCCTGAACCCTGTCGAGCTGGACGAAGTACGTTGCTCCTTTGGGGGTCTGTGTACGAGTTATCCATGGGGCTAGGACGAGATTTCCAGGCGACGCTATGGGTGGCGAGCGATTGCCAAGGCGCTGAAGCCGTACACCCCGCCAAAATTGTCGATCAAGAGTTTGCAAATCCCAAAATTGAGTGCCCAGGTACACGAACATGCTTTCCTCGGACTGGACTAGCATGCACGAATACACTTGTTGCAGGAGAAGCTACAGATCGCGCAATTACCAGCGACGGTCGTTGTTCCCTACAGCGCCGTCCCGATTTTGCAAGATTACATGCACTTGATGGTGTCTGTGTTGTCGAATCCGCAAAGCGCTTCATCCGGTACAACTCACTCGCATGTGGCCACCGCAATTTATCGTGGCTGCAGTCCACACTTGCGAACCAGCCCTCAAGCTCTTTCCCAAGATTCTGGACGACCATATTGCGTACGAGGCCTTTCGCGCAGTGTTTGACAGCGACATGCGCGGTCCATTCAAGGTGCATGCCGCTTTCACGACCGCAGGACACCGGAGTGAATAGTTTGTTAGACGCCCGCCGATCGAGTCGAGCGATTCGGTGACTTGGTGCTCCGAATGTGGCCAGCGTTTATTGTGCCCAAACCACGTATCACCGACGACGAGACCAAAGAGAGCGAATCCAAAGACGAACGCGCCAAGTACTTGACCAGCATGGCCAAAGGGTACGTGTTGTTGGGTGTCCCTCGATGAGACTGGATGACGCGATGTAGAAAATACGGTCTTCGCGATGTCAAAGACACAAGTGTGCCGTTCCATGTGCGCGAAGTGTCGTTCCAGAGGTTAATATAACAAAGTGTTCATGGCGATGGACCGACCTATCACCCACGACGACTTTGTCGAAACTGTCGCGAACATTTCGTTCCAAGAGATGGATCTAATATAACAAACCCCAGCCTGGGCGACCACGACGTCCGCGGCCTTCCAGCACCATGGACTACCTTACCAATCTCGATCTCTTCAGCTCGAGCAAACTCAAGGCTGGCGCGGCCGCGTTTACAGCGATGGTGAGCATCATCGTCATCACGACACTTCAATCGCCGTCCGACACAGAGTCGTCGACGTCGCTGACATCAAAAGTCAACGTCCCGCCAGCAGTCGATCCAAATGCCACCACCGACGTCTTCGATCCGTTCTATAACCAAACACTACCAAACGAAACTACAATCCCACCGACGCCAGGGCCCTACGTACTCTTGCCAACTACTCGGGAGCCAGATCCAGTCGGCAATAACAACCTGACGCTTGCTCAACCTACTTGGGCACCTATACCTAACATTCCAATCACCAACACTAGCTCAACCAACGCCACAACAACTCC